CTTCCTGTTCAAAGGGAGTTTTTCCTCTCCACTGTCGCTACAAGCATGCTTGGTGTGAGGGATTGCTGAAGAGTCAATGAGTCGTTGCAATCAGGTGGTTTTCCTTAGAAAACTTTACATCAATTTGACTGGAGGGGAGAAATGCCTTGAGATGACATGTGTTGTGAATAGGCGCTATAGAAATAAACTGAATTCAATTGAATTTAGGATTTAGCATTAGCACGATGAACTAATGTAGCAAATATGCTACAAAGGGGTAATATTGTTATAAATTCAGTAAAACCAGTTAAACAGAGCAACAAGCAATATGTTTTTATCTCATTGCGGCTCACATTATAAGCAAAAATAGCCTCTAATTTCTGGTTCCATCATTTTCAGCTCCAGATTTCCTTATCAGGAAATATGTCCGTCAGAGACGTGTCCCAGTAGAAACGAATGTTTGCCAAAGGTTCCTAGGTTCACACTGAATGTATAAAAACAAACATTTGGTGACTTAACCTGCTATTATGTTGTTTATCTATTGATTTTCAAAGCGTCAGCATCGGAGCATCAGGATTGTTTGTTTAATACAAAACCGTTTGTTATATATTTGCTAAATTATGCGTCAAAAGCCTAGAGAGCTATTGATTTTTTTTCTGTCTCATCTTTAACATATTGCATCTACCCATTATGTCTTTTAATTTTCCATTCATCCATTTGCCAGTTATTGCACCTGTGTTGGTTATAGATTCAGTATTTAACATATTTAAAGATATCTGCAGTAAACAGATGGGGAGATTCTGTATTTCGGCAAGGCGTGGACTTTTGATGCATAGAATGTGAGGTAACCCTGAAACTGATGCTTTGGCGTGAAACAGCTCTGAGCGTCGGAGAAAAAGGGCAGCCATGTATCAGAAGAGTGGCAGCAACAGTCGGGGTGTCGCCATGCTTGGCAGGCTCCTGTGATGAATACGTTCTCACCTGCCGAGAGTGAAAGAGCAGGCGTCTGCTCCCATCATTGCACCCCCGCGGGGGAGGGGGGGCTCTGCGAGCACACCCAGCACACGGGCAGCCAGACTTGATACAGTAATTGGTGGAGGTGTGACCACTGAGAGCTCGGAGGGCTGCAGGGTGTTTGCCTGCTCCTGGATGAGCACCGGTGCGTGGAGGAGCCCCGTCGTTCTTCTAACTACAGATATACACCAAATAGATATAAAAACGGGTAAATCCAGATAAAAGCATCTCTCATCGTCGGCGACCGCGCATCTTTTTAAACGCATGCAAACTGCCTCTGTTGCTCTCTTTGAGCCTCCTGTCTTTCCCCAAACTATTTACCTCCTCGCTCTGCTGCAGACAGTGCACCAGGCGCTCCCTGCGCAGCGGCTTTGTGGCTTACAGTAAAAGAAGTTATCCTCTGAGCTCCTTACCTTTGAATGGGGCCATTAATCATGGTTTGAAGTATCACAGCAGCCTCCTTTACACACAGTTGCACACTGCAAGCCAACCCTGACATAGAGTGGAGTTGGAGAGCCATCTAGTGGTTAACAGGTGGTACAGCAGAACGGAGTTCCTCTGCCTGGAATCCACTGTGCGTTTCAACTTATTTACTTCTTTTCAGTTTTATTTATTTCTGCCAGCAGTTTGGGCTCATTTTGCAGATTGCTCATCCTGTGGTGACAGAAAGTGACTTTGGTCAGTGAAAGGGATGAAAATGAGCTGTGCTGAGGGAGAGAGCCGGGCCATCTGGGCCCAGTGGGGACTCCTGACACGAGAAGGCCCACCTTCATCTGAGCGCCCACAATTTAGCATGCAAAGACCGTAATTATGCATGCCCAAGGTGACAACGCCTTAAAAGAAAAGGATGAACGTGAAGGTGGCACCAGAAACGGCTCAGCTCCTCCGTGCAGAAGGTGGACTCCCCACTAGCAGCCGAGGGCGTCTTGGTGACCTTGCGACTGCTGGCAGACAGCTCCAGACGATGGCACCAGGCCTTCTGCCAGGTGGCAATGCCAAGGAAGACAGAATCAGAAGGAGGGGAGGGGGCGATGGGAGCCGCTCATGGGCTTCAGAGAAAATGCCTATAATCCTTCTGCCTGTTTAATATTAACCTGACAGCATGTTGTAAAGGAAGACTGCTAATTATGACCTGGAAAGAGAAGAGGGAATTAAGCATCCATCCAAGGTTAGAGATGTCAGGAAATATCAGTTCATTGATCTAATCGCATCGGTACCAACAGGAGCACCGTGTCTTTAAGGCTTCACTGGCTGGAAGGCTTTCATGTAGGAAGTAGTGATGGTTCCAGCAACACTGATGTTCAGCCGCATGTCAAAACCTGTGTCGCTGCGCGTATCGTTTCAAAGTCACGTGACAGAAACAGGAGCTGTGTTTCATAAGCACCTCCTTCAAAACAATACAAAAAAATATCCGATCTTTTCCAGTTTATCATCAAATTAATCAAGAAAGATCAGCCTCAATAAAAAAAGAAAGGTTTGACCTGAGTGGGAATATTTTGATCTCATGTTTGTTTCAATGTTCTGGTTGTGTCATCTTGTTCCTCTCAGTTATGTCTCAACTTAACTGAATTCAAACCGATTTCAAAGTGACTCTTAGTTTGCTGTTATTACTTATTATAAATCCTATAAAATCATTATTCATATATTCACTTCCATTAAATGTTCACATTCATAGATTGCATCTAAATTATCACATATTTTCAATTTAAAAACAAAGATAATAGGGAGTGGTTATCTAGTGCGTAGAGAACTGAGCTTGGGTCCCAGAGGTTCTGAGTTCAAGCCCCCCACCCTCCTGCCACTCTGGGTCCCTGAGCAAGACCGTTAACCCCAGCCTGCTCCCGGGTGCCAACAGTGCAGCCCACTTCTCGCCAAGGGAATCGGTTAGAGGCATAGGGGGAATTTCCCCATTGTGGGACAATAAAGGATTGACATTACATAAGAAATAATACATTATAGCAAGGCTTAAATCATATTATAGGCCATCAAATCAGAGTCAGTTAAAAGTATAGAGGACGAACTTTTATTTAAGAGGGTGGATCATCTAAATAAGTGGTCCTCCTAATTGTCAATCATTCTGGTGATATGTTCACGTAACACCGTCCTATGTGCTCGTTTTGTTAGCTATCTTTTTCTGCGCACTTTCAGGCGTATATGTGTGGTGAGCTATGGTTTCAGACAGTCATTGAAGCTCAGCTTTCTCACTGCGGTTCTTTGAAAATGGCCGAGGGTCGTTAGAGAAGTGTATAAGTAGAAAAGAAAGGCCCCAGAAGAGGCAGATGTATCCCAGAATGCTTGGCGCAGGCATCACGCGGTGGACCCAACTTGGAAATGATTATCTGTCCAAACGGTCAGTTAACTATTTAATCCTCGCTCTATATAGCAATGGAGGGATTTAGGGGTTAGGGCGGACGTTTGGGCACAGTAAGCTGGTATGAGCTATGAGAGAAGCAACCTTTAAACAGAGCGTGCACGAGGAGAAACGGGCTTGTGCACGCTCTCGCATGCGCATTTTTTTCAAAGTGGAGAGGGCGGGTCTTTAAAAAAAAATTTAGAAAACCCTCCACAACACCTTTAAGTCTGTCAGAGGCTGCCTGTAGTGATTTTAAATGTCCAGCAGGTGTCAGTATTCAGTGAGTATTCAGTTCAGTTAACTTTAAAACAGAGATAACACTTTAAACGGCTGATCTTTCAGAAAGAATAAACATTGCAGAGTCTTAATCAGGTCTTTGCTTTGAAACCTTCTTATCCAATAAATAAATAAATTGAACTTTATTGATCTCATAATGGAGAAATTAAGTCTCTGCATTTAATCCATCCCATCTTTGGGGGAGCAGTGGGCTGCCACTATGCAGCATGGGAGTGGGTTTCAAACTCACAACCCTAGGATTTCTATCCCCTGACTACTAGGCCGCTGAAATCTGTCTGAATGGATGCTTTGGATTTCTTTTTTTTTTCTGAAAAGCTCCTTCAGGTGAAATTTGTTGTGATTTGCTTTATAACTATAAACTGTATTGAATCCTATTAAATGAACTAATTAGCATTTGGTGATTAGCATTACTAGATTTTAGAAAATCGTGGATTGGCTGTTATGTCGAGTAAAACTGTTTTTATCTTCCTCTATGAAGCTCTGAAAATCCTCTACTGTTATTGCTCTAAACTGTGGGTTTATAGTTGGGACGTTTTTA